TTGTTTTACTGGACCTGGATTGACATATTTTTTTACTGTCATGAAGCATAAGAAAAAAGCAAAACACCAGCATATGCTGAAAGCGTTTATAGTGGTTAAGGTTAATATTAAACACTTCGACCAAGTTGGTAAAGTAATTTGCAACTTTTAGCTTTGAGGAGCTCTGCAGAGCCTGAAAGGAAAAGTAAGGAGACGGTGCTTCTTCTTGAGATGGGTGTGGACTCAGGTATTGGACAGGTAGCTCCTTAGAGCCCTCCCCTCTCTTCCAGGTATATATGACCTTCCCATAGATTCCTATAGAGCTTCTGCTTGTCCACTTTGCATCTGTAGTCCACATCACTCCTTTAGAGTGAGGAAAAGAGATCAGTGGAAACCTGGAGCCAGTGGAGCAAACAGCAGCAGCTCTGCTCAATCTCACCGCCAACATGTTGTACCTGGAGACGGGGACCACAACATCTTACAGCGAGGTAAGACGGCAGGGCTCTTGGTAATGGGGCATCATCCATCGTTCCCATTCCTTTAGTTGGTTCCTCAGAGCTCCTTGGGCTAAGTGACACATCACATAGGAGGCCTTGTACTACATTACTTGAATTTTATTTCAGTATTGTAAATCATCCAAAATTGTAGATCCAGGTGGATGTTGTGTTATTAGTAGCAGGATCATTTTGGTATAACCCAGAAGTTTAATGCTGATTAGATAAAAGAAATGAGACAAATAGCCTGTTTTAATCAAGTAATAATCACAATAGAAAAAGTGAGGGAAAATGGTTCTACATTTGACAGTATGTCTATGTGTTTGTGTGCACATCTGTGTGTGTGTGGCAATGTGGACCTGGAGAATCTCTGACTATTTCCTTGTGAAATGGCTACAGTCTGGCTGTGCACTGATTTATTCTGATGTGACCGACTTTGACTCTGGTTGTTGTGTGAGTGTTTTACATGGTAGAAAACCTGACTTCCAAATCACTTTGGGGTTTCTATTCTCTGTGAGGAGCCTTTCATGAAGAACTTTGAAAAATAGAAACCTTTATGTAGGTTATTTTAGTAATTACAAACAATTCTGATTATGTGATGTATTTATTAAATCAAAGATTTAGAAAGTAGAATCATGATCAAGAGCTTTCATTTGCTTTTTGTGAACCGAGTGGCCACAAGATGTCTGGCGTTTACATGTTCTGGTCTGTCACAGAAAAAAAAAAAAGGCAAAAGCTTGATTAACGCATCAGTCTGCATTAAAAATGCTTAATTTAAAAAGCAAAAGTCTTGTCCATTTTTTATTTTGAAAGTGCATACATCATGATTGATGTATCTGTTTGCAGAGCTTGATGGCAAACACTTGAATGATGTTTTACAGGAAATTATAAAAAAGGCTTTCTAATAAAGTTTTTTCCCCAACTTTTTTAAATTCCACAATATTTATTTGGAATTGGTTTCATTTTGCTTTAGTTAGATTAGCCATAATGTTGAAAACAGAAAAAAAATTGTCCTTTTTAGGGTCATCGCCTTTGAGAACAGAATTGTTGGGTCGAAAACTAAACTTTGTCAGCAAGTCTAATTTGTAAGAAATGTAGAGTTTAGTTTCAGAATTGTCAGTGTCAGTTCTGGGTCTCGGCTCTCATTTTTCTTCTTCATTAGTTGTGTCGGTGAACTATTGTGTTGTCCTCTGTGTTTGCCAGCCAAATCCTAAACCAAAACTTAATGCTGAGCAAGTGAGTGGTGACACATTCTCAGATTGCAGGTTGCAGATAGCAGGTGTGTCAGGTCACTGTCTTTTAAGTTGTTGAGCAGGGGGTCTTTAAGTGGTGTCCAGCTCAATCCCTCCACTGTGTGAGGTATCGGGTTCCCCCGTCCCCAGTCTCCTGGGAGCCGCTGCAGCCATTAGAATGTGGCTGGAAAAAAAAACCGCCCGCAGCCAGTAGAATGTGCCGGGCCAGGCGCTGCTGTTTAGTCCAGGATCGTAATTGCTTTAATGGTGTGTTGATGTAGATACAATCACCTGCTCTGCCCACCCCAGCAGGTATAGGGTGTAAATAGACCCCCACCCAGAATCCACTTCATCCCCCAACCCTGTTGAGCCTTTAATGCCTCCCTCCCCTGTGGTCACTCATCACAGTCCCCTAGATGCTCTTATGTGCTGGCCCAAGCTGCATGGACCAGGTCACCAAAGAGCCTGGAATGGGAGCTATTCCTCCCTCAGGCCAGGTCTGCTCTGGTTCCTGTCATCTATCGATCATCCAAACTCTGACTTTTCAGCGTTTCATAATTTGACAACCTAACAGTAACTGCAACAGGAAACTCTGTGTGTTTATATGAGAATTATAGTTTTACCTTTCACATCTTCCAATCTAAAGCAGCTTTGTAGTTCATGCAACTGTCTGCAGATGGACAGTACTTTCCAGTAGATGCTTTGCTTGTACAGAGTTCACAAAGATAACAATCTCCCTGCCTTGTTGCTAATAATAGTTAAACTTAACATTAATCAAACACCAGTCATAACCTTTGAACTGACAGAGACCTCGGGTCAATGACATTTCATATCTCAAGCTGCAGAGAGTATGATTTACCTCTAGTCAACTATGCTTTAATAATATTTGTTGAACTTTTAAGAAAGACATGATCAGGTTTTCCAAGCATTCACTTTGCCAATGGCCTATGTGCATTTAAAATCTCTCTTGTTCTGGATAATTCAGATTCCTACACTGGCCTACCTCCCATTATCCTGAAGGTCAACAGCCTGCTTTTCCTCTTAGCCTGAAATGCTTATGCCAGTGTTTAATTCAAAGAAATAAGACTGAAGGTGTCAAAGGACAGCACAACTTTCAAAATCTTAAGTAAAGGCAGTTAAGAATGTCAAGGTTGCTGATTTACTGTGACATTCCAAAGGCCAAAGAAAGTGTCAGCTGTAAACGGAAGGAATTTTTAAGAGCAGCTAAAGTGGTTATTAAATGGTTGCTGTATTATAGTGGAATAAGATCTGATTAAAGGAAACACAGAGAAGCCCTGAAACTCCCTCACACAACCTTTTAAAAACCTGATGTCCCACTTCCAGTCAATTAAACATTAAACCATTATAAGTTTACATGATACTGCTGGGACTCACTGTCTGGTCAATTATGGCTTTATCCTCATTCTTCATCTTTGATCCTTATATTCATTTAGACCATGAAAAGCATTATCATTGGCCCTGTATTTAATGGGAAGTATTCTGTGTCAGGCATTCTGCTTTATGTCCCTGCTTTTATCTGTGTTTAGTGTCTGGCCAGCATCAACCTTTCTCTAGAATAATAATTTGACATTGATAATTAGAGCCTGTCACATCAGCATTGCAGCTGCCAGCATCAGGTACTGGGGGAGGCTGTGTCATCTCTTAATGGCTGAGCGCCTCAGTGCAACTGCAGTGAACTGCACGATATTTCAAAAGAATTACCAGTATCATGATGGCTGACTCCTTGCATACAGGAAAACACTGTCCAAACAGGAATTTATGTTACACTGTTAGTTCCCATACAAAATACGGATCATTTCCCTTCTTTTCATTCATGAAGGCTGTTAAAGAATTTAACTAATAAGCTTCTGTTATTTTTAGTTACACCAGTTTGGACTATACCCATTCTTTTCTTCTAGGGTCACCTGGTATCAGATGCACAGGGCTGCTCTTGAGCCCATTGATTTTTAGACCTACACACATAATACATGTGTGTAATTAGCCCATTGTAAGGGAGCGTGTGTTTGGGGAAGCCTTTCTCTGTTAAAGGCTGGAGGGTCTCCACCAGTTGAGTTTTCCTTTTCTCTGAGTGTGTGTGTGTGTGTGTGTGTGTGTGTGTGTGTGTGTGTGTTCCTTTCACAAGACACTTGTCTCCTAACACCTGCATACCCAGCATAATTGTTCCCCAGACAAGCTCTTATAAGCCCCTGGTGTCATTGTTTCCGGAGGGTTAAGACACCTTGCACCTCACACACAATGACCCTCATCCAAACAACTAGCTACCCTGTGGTTTTGTTGCACAAATATGCTGAGGTTGACTTGAATGACCTCTCTCAGGTGTTTGTCTGTGCCTGTGTGTTAATCTGTAATCGAGCAGCAGTATTGCCTCACAAGTCACTACCTCTATTAATAGCGATATATCTTACCTAGTTTATTTTGTTGGTCATCTGGCACACAACTAACATGTAGCAGTGCAATGGGTGTGAGCTGGACAGCTGTGGTCAGCCATGCTTGAAATAAAGAGTCCCTGGAGAGATTAATGACAAAAAGTGAGAGCCAAGGCACCTCATCCAGGAATGTGCCACATATAAATGGAAAGGAATGGGGTAAATGTTGAGCAGAGCAAGCAGGAAGGGACTAGCTATGAGCTAGATGTATTCTCCGCCCTGTTTAAGGGCAGATAACTTTATTACATTCCTCCAGTCTGAGTAGTTTGGATTGTGGAAAAGGAAATGAAAAGGTTTAGGTACTGTAGTGTGTAGCAGGACTTGATCAAAAGCTGGTAATTTGAGTGAGTGAATTATAAAAACAGGTTTCTGCCATATCGTTTTCTTTTCTACCATATTTTACATTTCTGAGGACAGTGCTGAGGAAGGGGCTAGACCATAAAGTCAACACAAGGAAAGATGGTTTGTTTCTTTACTTTATTGTGGATCTTTTTTTTTCTTTTTTTTTTGTTTCTGAGACAAGCTCTCTACTTCCTATAGCATGTTTTCAAGTTTTGTGACTTTAGCACCTTGAATTAACATGAACTTTATGTAGCAATTTACCGGATTTATCTTGTGTAATTTAAAGCTAACACTTGTTACTGAAAGCTAATTCTTACAGGATTTGATCATGTTTATATAGTAGGCTACAACCTGACAGGTGACAGACCAGCCATTGTTGGTCCTTAAGTATGATTCATATACTAACGTGTTCATCACTACTGTCAGATTGAAGCAAATTGAAATATCCTATAATGGCTAAATATGTCCCTTTGTTGTTGCTCCCATCCCCTCCATGTTGTCTCCAGTCACAGTATACAAACCTGGGGCTCCTGAACAGTATGGATCAGAACATTCAGAATGGTGGCTCAACCTCTACCAGCCCCTACAACAATGACCATTCACAGAACACCGTGACAGCCCCATCGCCCTACGCCCAGCCAAGCTCTACCTTTGATGCTCTTTCTCCCTCACCGGCTATCCCATCCAACACAGACTACGCTGGGCCCCACACCTTTGATGTGTCCTTCCAGCAGTCTAGTACAGCTAAATCTGCCACCTGGACGGTAAGACACTTTTTGACGGGTTTGTGCAATTTGCTTGAAGTGTTTTTATCATCAGTGATTCCATGTCTGGGTCAATAATCACAAAAATCTTTAGAGACACCCCTCTAGTAGCTAGCATCTGTGCCACTAACATCAACATAACTTGGTTTTGTCATAGAGAGTACAAAAAACATGTTTCTACCAATACACTAAGGTAAATGGGTATCTACTGATATGCTTTACATACTGTGTATGGCTTTTTCAGTTCAGTGTCGAAATCAGAGGATCATGTCATTTATTACTTACCATAGTCAAATGGTAGATAAATAAGTTGTACAGTAAAAAGTGATCACAGTTTAGCCTAGATAAACCAGTTACATGACATTTCAAAGACTCTTTGTATGTGTAGGATCATTTCAGACAGAGCCAGGTAAGTTGTCAATCATAATGTGTGTGGACCTTTGGTTCTATGTTCTTCTTTCTGTCACTTGACTGCACTGATAAACTCTGCAGATCTGCCCTTCAAAATATGCACCAGTCTTCTTTGACACGTCTCTGTTCAGTTGTGTGTTCTAATCAGGCAGATGCTCATCATATTAAATATGGACTCACACAGACACAGATGTGCTAGTTGTCATCATTTGAAGCAGTGATTTGTCAGGGTAGAGGTTAAAGAGATACTTTTACACATTAACTCCTTATCTGACTATCTGCGCTCTAGGCAAATTTAGATTCACATTATTTTGAAGTCCTGTGTTACACAACTACGTACATCTGGCAAGGAAGAATGTCAGATCTATAGCTTCAAACCATGACTGAACCCCAGGCGTGTCTTTGACGCTGCACCTCACTTGCTAAAAGAAGAAAAACTGAAGAGCATGATCTCACTCCATAGGCTGTCACTACGAGAGACATTCATATTAACATTGTCTTATTAAACCCTTAAATGCAATTCTAAATGTGTGAATATTGTAGGTAGATAGATTTGATAGATATCCCGTATCTTAGCTATGTTCCTCTAGTCATGTTCAGACTCCAGTTAATGAACAACTTGGACAAAGTTCACTGGTACGTTTGTTGATGACAGAGGTAAACAAACTTAACAGTTGGTCCAGGTGTGGTGATGCCCTGTACAGCTAGATGTCAACATGTGATGATCATTAAACCAACAAAACCAGCTCCTCCTGCTTTGTTATTATGCACAACATGGCCGAGGACAGCTGTTGCATCAGAGCCCCACCTGGTTGTTTGTGCATCTAATCAGTACATCTCTACGCAGACACTGTAAGAGACCTGCAAGTTCAGTGTGTTAATGCACCCTAGCGGACAACACACGACGGGGGTTTTGTCATGTGTGACTTGTTTTCATTATTTTAAGGATTATTTTCAGACAGTTTTGATAGTACAGAGTGACATGAAAGATGAAGAGGATGGGGCATTTTACAGTATGTGACAAGGGTCACTGACCAGATCATAATCTGGATGTTGTACTAATCTATGGGCCATGTGTGATGTACCAAAGATTACATAATGGACCTACCATAATTTATTGCCAACTTTGGATGAGCCAATTTAGATGGAAGTGGTCATTAAAACACCTATCATTAGTGTAAGATTGATAAATAAGTCTGCCCAAATCATCCATACAAATCATCCATACTAAATGTGTCCAAAGGGGAGTGTTGAAAAACCTGCTGAGCTGAATGCAGCAACTGTGACGCACTGCGCCTTCCAAGTAAACAGGCTGAACTCAGGGAGTGCTGGGCAATCTCACCTTATTCCTTGGCCACACCGAGTGTGGGATTGTGACAGTTACCCAATTCCCACACTGCCTCACTCATCCCTCTCATTTTCACAGTCCAAAAACAAAAGTGTTTGTCTGATGTGCAACTGTGAGGAGGTTAACATTGTGATTTGTGAGGCACGCCCCAGAGCCTGAGCCACACTGGTTTAGGACACATCCCCATCTTAGGCACATGTAGTGCAACAGATAAGGTATCCCACAGTCATAACACATGATGCAAGACTGGTTTGATTGGTCTGACTTAATGTAGAACAGTGAATTATTGCTTATTATCACTGTACTGAGTGTGCTGGAAGAGTAAGCATTTGATTTATACCTGAAAATAAGCAACATCCACATGTTTCTGTGTAAAGTCTTTTAATACCAGGATGATCAGAGTTCATTTTTATTGCCCAAGGTGCCTCTGACAGCTCTGAATAAACAAGGTGAAAGACAATTAAAACTAAAAGTACTAAAATAAAAATACCAACTAAATATAAAAATACAGATCTGTTAATTGTCAAAGTAATTTTACTGATCTGCCCCCAATTCTTATGAGGATATTATCCCACCTAGCTTAATAGTGATGTTCAAATGTAAAGAATCTTTAATTAAAAAAACAAAAAAAACAAAACAGATTTATTTATAAAGTTGGTCTTCCTTTATGAATGAGCTACAGAAATGGTCTCTTGGTAATCTCACCCCCAGGCCCTTTGCTTACAGGCTTCTGTTTTGTTCATGTCAACAAAGGATGATGAATCTAAAAACAGTGAAATAACATGCAGTATTAATACTTCTCAGAAAGGCCGTCCCTGGTAGGCTAGTGGTTAAGGCGCAGCGCTCTCGCCACTGTGCCCCGGGTTCGAATCAGGGTTGCGTCAGGAAGGGCATCCGGTGTGCCAAATGTCAACATGCGAGTCGTCAGTGTGACGATTCGCTGTGGCGACCCCTAAGTGGGAAAAGCCGAAAGTGACTTTCATTAATACTTCTGAGTTATTTTCTCATTTATTGGCCAGATTAAACATCAGTGCATCATCCACCAAAGATACTTTACATAACAAAATGGTGTCAGAATCCTGACTCACTGAACATTGTTTTGTTATGCTGATGATTTTCCATTATGGCTCAAAGAGAGTCATTTTCCCTGTGGTCAACAGCAGCTATTCTAAAGAGCAGTGATTACAGTGTTGGTTCGCATGTCAAAGGAGGCCCCCTCACCTGATCTGAGGAGATCTTACGCAAAGCTCCCATAATCTCAGCCCAGTAGCTTGACTACTGTACTGATGGCAGAGAACCACTGAAGATGTCACCAGCACAACTTTGCTGTGCATGGATCTTCTAATGCCCCCTTTTGAAGGCCTGTGGGATCCACGGGCCTTATTGGACTGTGTATTGTGCTTTTTGATGACTGTTCTTATGGAGACGCACCTAATCCCTAACCCACACCTTAACCTCTTCCTGTCTAGGATGACTGTGACACACACACACACACACACACACACACACACACACACACACACAAAGGTGCAACACGTCAACGTTTCCCAGAACAGCTCTCATAATTTCCTTGTTGGCACTCCTGCAGTCTCCCTGATGTTCCCTCCTTTGTCAGTTAGAAGAAAACATTTGGCCAGATCCAGTGAATTCACAGGTTACAGATGCTTTATCTTCTTTGCTTCACTACATTAATGGAGTCGCAAATGAGGCAACCATTGTTGCCAACTGATGAATCTATTGTGAGGCTAAAGATTGGTTCTGTTTGCAGTGTGTATTAACTGCCACTACGTATACTAGCCAGACAAGAGTAATGTCATGGTCTGGGCTATCAGTGGGATGCTGCAGAGCTTGGGGATTACAGTAATGGATTGAGGGCCTGCAGATAATACTTGTGTAAATACTGTGTGCCTCTTTCTTGAACCTGTGCTCCTGGAGTGGGCTCTGTCTTTTTGAGAGAGGGTTAAGCTTGATGGTTGCATCTCACATTGCCCCGAAGGAGGAGGAGGAGAGCCCTTGAATGTTCAAAGAGAAGAGTGTTCTAGCGAAAGGCAGCAAGACACAGCTTGCCCCTGGAACATCTGCGGGCCCGTCCCACGCCTCATGAGATGGGGCTGAGACTTGTTTGTGTCAAGAAGCTTGTCGTGACTCGCCCATCACAGGGAGACGAGCCCTAGCCCTAGAAGCTACAGATGGGAAAAGGTAGAGGGGAACTTTTTAAAAAGGAAAAGCTGAAGCGTTTTTGTTTTTTTTTTAATATGGGCTATGGGGTTTCTCCAAAATTGTTGTGGAAAGGCCCATTCTCTTACAGTTTAGATTACAAGATTCTTTCTTTACCCGTAACAAACATCCCAATGCAGATACCTACAGCAGTGATTTACCGCAACAGAATGCAAGCTCATTCTGTACTTGCATAAACTAGAATTTCTTGGATCAGAGCAAACCAAATACTAACAGTTTGTTTGCACTCTTAACAAAGAAGTCACTTTTGCATGATAGTTGAATAACAGACGTGATTGCAACTTTAATACTTTCTTGAACCATAAGTGCATCAAACAGTTTTTGGAAGTAACTGAGTGTCACAAAAGGGTATAGATGTTAATATTTGTGAGTGAATGGTGTGATACTGCTTTAGCTGCTCTTTTTTCATGCCTTCCCCTGTTAGGTTTTAGTTTTAGCTATAAATGCACTGAACTCACTTGTAGTTACAGTCATTTGATGAAGACGGTTCAGTTGCATCCGACTGGCTAATCCCAAGACTGACAGTGACTTATTTGACTGTTTCAGTGCTAGCTACATGAACATGATGCCGCATGTCAGTTTACAGGTTAGCCTTAGGACAGATGTCATCACAGAGGTTGGGTGGTCAAGGATGGTTATGGTATTGACACCATAACAGTTATTTATTTTTTATAGAGGTGATTATTGTCAAACTTTTATTTTACTGTAAAAATAATTTTCTTCTGAGAGGCAGGTGTTTTACTTCTGTTTCAGAGGAAATGGAGGGGAAAAAAATCCTCCTATGCATTGTTGTTGAATTATACGAGTTTGGGAGAAGCTCTAGGCATGACATGACATGCACGGTATGCAGAAGACAAGACCAGAGGCGCCAAACAGTGCTTGTTTAAGGCCTGATGTTTGTCAGGACTTGACTTCTGCATGCGCCCGCAGCGCCTGTCAGGGAGAAAAGAATGCTACAGCTGTGGGCCTGCCTCAACCTGTGCACGGGAAGTATATGTTTGTGTGTTGAAGTACAGCATAGAAAGTAATTGCACACATGCAGCACTGTACAAGGATCAGAACAAGTTGTATGTTGCAAGCAGTCAGATTATTATAACATATTTTAATTATTACACCAGCTCATAAACTGCAGAACTGACCAACCTCTGTTCATTCAGTTCATCCAGCAGAGATGTACAGCAGCAGATGGAGAAGGCTGTATTCATAAATACGACCTACACTGCAGGCCATTATTTCTTACCACCTTACTGCCACATGTGCCATTTGAACAATGTGTCACGTGTTCTTGCAAACAGAAAAGTTTTCTTTGAAACGATTGTGATTAAGCAGCTCAGTATTGTGCACAGTGTGTTCCTTGGCTGTGCAGTTCACATTGTGACCAATGAAAGGCTCATAATTACATGTTAACACCTGAGTGCCGCACCCTGTGTGAGCCACTGAATCCCATCAGTCAACTCCACCCACAGTGTGTTAGCTCTTTAGTCAGGCACTGCTTTCAGCATTCAGCAGCAGCGTCTGCTCTCGCTGCTGAGCAAACACCAGCAGTTAATAGTTGTGTGCTCAAAGTTTGTAGCCTCAGGGCTGGGATGGTTCTTGTGTGTGCATGCACTTGTAAGGCTCTATATTATGAGGACCAGTTTGAGTTCTATACCATATGGGTGAGGAGATTTTGCCTGGTCCTCACTTACTGACTTACTTTCAGAGGGTTAAGACTTGGCTTTAATGTTTTGGTTAGGGCAGGGTAGGGGGTATTTGTTTAGTTGTGATGGTCAAGATAAAGGCCTGGAGAATGCATTTTGTCAGTGAGTGTCCTCACAAAGATACAAGCTGTACAAATGAGTGTCTCTGTACAATTTTAAGACCATAGGACAGAATATAAGCCAACTTTAGATTTCTGCCCCTCCAACATTTCTGATTAGATCCTAGTGCTCAGAGTTGTGCTGCTTTCACCTAAAACTACACAAAACCAACACACTGTAATTTTTGAAAACACAATGTACTGACCCTTTATGCAGCACTGCTCACTTTTCCTTTGCCTCAATCTTATGCTGTCTCTTTCTTTTTTGCTCTTCCTCTTGTCTCTCAGCTTGGCTTCTCCACCTCATTTAGCTGATTGACAGAGGCGTACGGGGAGTATCAGGTTAGGGCGAGGGGGCATCTACAACCATTCATCTTCGGATTGTTGTTTTTTTTCTTTAAAGAAGACCTTTAGGAAAGCTGCTTTGATTTTAAGGAAGAATCAGTTCAGTCATTGTGTTGACGTGTGTCCCAGATCTTGAACTGTGCTTATCAGTCTGTATATCATGTTAACTCCATGTGTTTGTGCACAAATCTCAATTCAAAAGTTTATACTGACTCATGACCTTACTGTTTGCTTTAACATTTGATAGCTTAACTTTCCAGCAATGCATATTAGTAGCACCATGTAGTGTTGTCAGTTCATCCTGTGCATGCACATTTTATAATAAGGTCACTTGAGGAAAGGTGCCTCTGATTTTGGGTTATTATTAACTTGCCTGCTTTAGCAGATCTTTTCTCTGGGTGAAACGCACAGCACTAATGTGTGTAGTTTGTGATCAAGAATATGGAAGCAAGACAAGTGAAGGTACTTCTGTTGATTTGTCCCGATGAAAGAAAAGGCTGCGCCTGGGGAGAAGAGTAGAAGATGTCCGTGCCAAGTTCGTGTAATATTTGAAGTCGGCACAGATGGGTACTGGGACAAGCTCCTTTTCTTTGGTTCCAAACTTGATAGAGGTGGAATTTTGTTTCGTTGTTTTCTAACACAGCCCCGAGCGTTTTCACAATGTTCACTTTTCTTGAGAAATGAATCTGACAGGAAAATTTCCCCCTCCATCCTCCACCCCCTCTGTGTCTTCTGCACATAAAGGATTTAAACCTCTGCTTGCGCAGCAGTGATTTGAATGGGTTGTTTACACAGTTGAGTTATACCTATTAGTAACAATTCAGCCTTTCTGATGGCTTACTGGTTATCAATTCAAAGAGTGCCAGGGATCAGGGTACATCCATTATTCATGACTCCTGGCTCAAATGTGTGCGTGTGTGTGTGTGTGTGTGTGTGTGTGTGTGTGTGTGTGTGTGTGAGCGAGCAACCATCACATTTTTGAACCAGACGGATTTTGTGTGACTCCTCTGATTAGTCTATCACTCCTGTACTTTAAAAGCTCAGACTGAGTCATTTTCTTCCAGCCCCACAAGGAAAACTGCTCTCAGCCTTGTTTGCCAGCCTCTTCAGAAGCCTTGTTCTGTATGATGAGTGGCCAAAAGGTGCTTTGGCAGAGTACTTCTGCCTTGAAGATGAAAGCCAGGCCCAGTTTCATTGCCGCTGGGGGGTCCATTTTATTCCTTGGTAGTCTCAGAGGCTCTCCATGAGTGGATCTTTGAGGTTGCTCAATACACACTCATTGCAGCAAAACCTCTGTGTGGGTGTGTAGGTAATAATCACAGTCTTGCTTTTAACCTCTTTTGCTTCAGGGGAGACCAAGAATTGCACAGTCTGGGCAGCCAGTGCTGTGCAGATCAATCTGTGCTCTTAAAAATCAGGCAAAAATTGTTTTGAAGCCTCAGATCACTTTTCTCCTCAACAACACAAACTTGCAAGTATTGTTACCTGAATCATTTTGTCTGTATCCCTCATCTTTTGCTTTGTCATTTTTTTCTTTTCCAGTACTCAACAGAACTGAAGAAGTTGTACTGCCAGATTGCCAAGACATGTCCCATTCAGATCAAAGTGCTGACCCCCCCACCACAGGGCGCTGTCATCAGGGCCATGCCTGTTTACAAGAAAGCCGAACATGTGACCGAGGTGGTGAAGCGCTGCCCAAACCACGAGCTCAGCCGCGAGTTCAATGACGGTCAGTTTTGATGTATTTAAAAAAAACAACAAAAAAAAACAACAACTCGCATTTCACTTCAGTAATCACTGTTTGTGGTCGCCATTTAATGACTACAATTTATGCTGCTTCCAGGTCAAATAGCTCCTCCAAGCCATCTGATCCGCGTGGAGGGAAACAGTCATGCCCAGTATGTGGAGGACTCCATCACTGGAAGACAGAGTGTATTAGTTCCTTATGAACCACCCCAGGTGAGCTGTCTATCCTGCTGGCATGAGGCCAGCTGAATGCCCTTTCAGCGACACCTCACCACTTCAGCCTGACTGTGACAGATAGAGGCGTGGCAGACTCTGAGTTCTCTGAGAGCTGGGCCTCTTGTGCCCAGTCGCTGGTGTCCACTAAAGCCCCTCAGTATGATCACAGCTTCATCAACATGCAACATGTGACATTTACTTGCACTTAACTCACCTTTTTTTCTGCAGTAACCTGAGAGAAACTCAGTCAACACAGCTGCAGGAGAAACCGTTTTATTAAAATTCTAGCCAGGGTTTTATTCGAGCTTCTTGTCAGACCTCTGACAAGAACAGTATCTCTATGACAGCTGTGTGACGGATTCAGAGACACTCTTAAGATAATTAATTGTGGAGTGTGAGTAAAACTAAAACTGAAACAAAATAAATGACGCAGAGCTACAGAACCTACGTTTCCTGCCTTAAGCTGATTTTTAAGAAGGAAACCATTTTGTTTTTCAGCCTGCTTTCCCTCTGTGCTGTCATTCACCTTCGGTGTCATTCACCTCCTCAGGTGGGGACAGAATTCACCACCATCTTGTACAACTTCATGTGCAACTCGAGCTGCGTGGGTGGAATGAACAGACGCCCAATTCTCATCATTGTCACTCTGGAAACCAGAGAGTAAGAGACAGTTACTGTTAATGCTCATCCTCAGTGGTTGTCTGTTATGCCTCCAGTTAGGCAGTGGATTCTTTGTGACCAAGGCTTTGCATTTCCTCTTCCCAGTGGTCAGGTATTAGGCCGTCGGTGCTTCGAGGCCAGGATCTGCGCCTGCCCAGGCCGAGACCGGAAGGCAGATGAAGACAGCATCCGCAAGCAGCACGTAACGGACGCCACAAAGAGCAGTGATGGTATGAAACGCCGTAAGTAGTGCTGGGGCTGGTGATGGGCGGATGAGCTTTGGACTTACCTGACATGCTGCTGGTGTTGAAGACCCTCAGCCGCTGCGCTCACTAACATTCAGTGCTCAGTGAATGCCTCCAAACTCTTGATTACTTTCCTGCCTTTTCCCCTCGCTTATTTCCTTCCTGCTCAGACTTAGGTAACTGTTTGTCACATGGACATGTCTACTCACTTGTTACTCTCCTCTTTTCAGCCTTCCGCCAGGTTTCCCATGGCATACAGATGTCCACCATCAAGAAGAGAAGATCTACAGATGAGGAGGTTTTTTGTTTGCCTGTAAGTGTTCCTGCTGTTTGAGGAAGTTGCTTTAAAACATGGTTGTGAGTGTGTCTGAGCTGCTTACTGACTGACATTTTTTTACTTCTTATAGATAAAAGGCCGGGAAATTTATGAGATTTTGGTAAAAATCAAAGAATCTCTGGAACTCATGCAGTTTCTTCCACAACATACCATAGAATCATACAGGCAGCAGCAGCAAAATCTACTTCAAAAACAGTGAGTACCAGTAGAGATCGGTAACGAAGTGATACTTTTGTTCTCAGGTACATGAAAGGCAGACCCACATTATTTGCAAGGTTCACCCTTGAATTCTAGTGGACTTGTTCCTCTGTGCTGTTTGCAGCCATGCGCCTTCGATCTCATTCTTGCTAAACTACTTGTTTGCTTGCACAGAAGCTTTTTCAATAAACTGATGTAACTTTACTAACTTGAGGAAAAGTGGACTGCACGGATAAAGGTTGTGCATGACATTTGATGATTCAATTTATTTGTGCCTCTGAAGCATCGCTGCTTTAAAGTCAAAGCTGAAAATGATTCCTCTAAAATGGATGTTATTCAGTGTTTCCCATCAGCTCAGAATTTACCTAGAATCTGCTCAGTGCTGGCAACTTCACAGGGTGAGCCTTGCATCAAGTAGAGCCGTTTCTTTTCTTCTCTCTCATGGGATACGAGCCAAAGCTGATGAATCGTGACAGATGTACCTGGCTATGTTTTGTTAAGGAGAAGCTTCCAAAGATTTGTGGTAACACCTCTGGGTGCTCTGTCAGGTTTGCACAACAGCATCCAACAAAATTCATGCCTCTGCCTCTTCATCTGTTCACTTCAGCATAATTAAAACTGTTTCAGACTCAGATGTTCACGCATACTTTCCCTTGTCCACGCCCGTTTCACTATACGATGTGGAAAAGAGGAGATGGGTGTAAATGATAGTTTATGTGCTGATTACTGCTTATGTTATAGTTTCCCTTTAAGAGACTGGCAGACGGCCTCACACTGAGATAGTGAGCATTTGCTGTAATTTATTGGCTACCCGTTGTTTTCTGACAAACATCAATATCGTTAGTTATCTACATGTTAAACAGACATAACTAATAAATGATTTGTTAAGATTTTAATGGATTTTTTAGAATCTAAATTCACATCTTTTGAAGTTAGAATAGAAGAATGTCTTTGGTATGTTTGACTGCTTTTATCCGGTTATTTTGCATGTCTTTCCTATTTTTCTTTGTACTCTTCTGTAATTTCTAACTCCTACAGTGTTTCCCTCACAGCCTGTGAAATAAAAGGTTCTATCAACAGCGATTGTTTCAGACCTTTCCTTATCACTGTGTAAATGCAAAATGATAGGGCAGTAGTGAAATGCTGTGACCTGTGTTTGCAGAGTGCCATCTTCTGGACAGGGTCCTTAGTGCAGAACACTGATGTGTCAAGTTCCACCTGTCTGTCACATAAACTTTGTGCAGTTCCTTTAGCATATCTCACTTTTTTAAAATAAAGACTTTTCTGAGCCTCTGGGCCTCTTTAGGCATTACTCACTTCTCTGTCCTCCTCCATCAGTGAGCTCTTATTCTGCTCTCTCTTTTCTTTCTGGTTCCTCCCTGCAGTCTGATAAAAACTCGTCTTGGTAGCCAGCTCCTGGAACCTGCAGGAGAGCAGAGGCGGTGCTGCAACTCCTCCTGAATCTCTGCCCCACATTCCTCCTCTCCTGAGTTACCCGGACCTCCTCTCTGTCTCCTTATAATCATCTTTCATCTCCTAACTTTCTGCCTTTCCTGGGATTCTGCACTGAGGATGTGCCACTGAAAGTTTCTGTTTCTGAGATCTGTTGCTGCTGCAAGATCATGATGAGCCATCGTGCTACCTGTAGCCCAGCATGCTGGATAGACTGTTTAGCCTCTCTACTGAAGTTCAGAGATTATTATTTTTGCATGCATTATTTTTGTCTATAAAAAGGATATTAAGGTTGCCTGTTGTGATGACATCATCACTTTGTTCAGGTCGTCCATGTTAATCATCTGTCTGTTGCATAGAGAGTGTTTGCAAAGCGTCCATCCCATTCAGCCTTTTATTCAGGCTGAAGTTGGACAGGAGCCAAGCTTGAATATTTGTTTTTCTATTTTACTTGACTTACAGAGCTTTTTCAGCTGAATGTTTTTGCATCGTCACAAGAGCTGGACTCTATCTTGTGGGTTTTTTGGGAAAAAAGACTTATTGTGAGAACTTTTTGCTACTATGCTGGTCATGTTTTCTGAAGTCACTGCAGGGCGGTGTTCTCAAAAAGATGTCTTTAAATAGAGGAAACCGCAGGTGTTCACTTGCTTACATACAGATCAGAGCTGACCATTTGTTTCTGTGACCAT